TATCCTTTCGAGGTGCTCACCAGATGCGTCCCCAATTGCCAAGTGCGATAACCTCTCGATCTCTGAGGCGAATTCCGGTAGAGACTCGTTGGATTTTTGGCAGCGATTCTGCAACTCCATCTGGTAAATCTGTCTCCTGTGCTCGCTACGTCTTTCCACTGCACCCATTAACGCATTGTAACTGTCCGTTCCTTATTCAGGGATAGTCTGCAAGATTTCTGCTGAGGGTAGTTTTAATGCAACAAACAGAGCAGCAGATTTATCCTCCATGCTCCACTTGTTTGCTACAGCCGCCTTTTCGAACTGGAGCTTGAAGACCTAGAAAGGAATCGTGCCGTAAGGGATGGAGTCTTTACCTTGGGAGCGCTTGTCGAAACAGCTGGACGTTTCAACTGCAGATCACGGAGACGACCTTCCAACTCCTCTACCTTTACCTCGATTTTTTCCTGTCTCTCTTCGATCTTGTCTTATATTTGTGTAAGGCATTATTGATATGGTCAACTTGGCTACCAGTCCAGTCCCACATATGTAACTACGAGTTTTATTACCGTTGTAATATTAAAAGATTTAAGTTTTCTTGTTACGCCACTGAAGGCGAATAATTTTTATTTTGGTCTTACTTTCGCCACTGAGGGCGGTTGGCTTGACATTGCTCTTCTTATGCATCTACTTGTTCTATTTATACTTATTTCTATGTACATCGGCGTCTTAAGCTGACGTTCTTATTCCCGTGTACTTTCTTACAAATTATACATGGGCGTTCTACGTTGACGTTCATATTCCCATGTTCTAAATGGAGCAATCGCTGCAAACAACCAGCGGTGAACATATTTTGGGTAAGTCAACTAAGGCAGCGTTCAGTGTTATGGCTTAGTACGTTGTAAGTACTATGGCCAATGCTTCAGTCAGCAGAGTCGATGATCGCTAATATTGTTTAATACATTGTATGTGCGGCAGTGCACTTAGCGACATGGGCAGTGGCCTCCCCATGATCGGAGTCTTGCTGACTAGGCATTATTGATTTGTATTTACGCAACAGAACAGCGTTCAATATTTTGGATTATTAAATGCCGTTCTGTTGTATGTTGTAAGTGTGTGTGTGTGAAGTGTCAATGGACTGCGACTTTAATGTTTCTTTATTTGAGTTTACTTTTAGCTGCTGTTTATGTTGACTGCGTTTGCATGCTACACCTCCATTTTTCAGAAGAATGTTCATATAACTGAAGTTTTATGGACATTCTTTTACAATGTTATTTTATTTAAATCTATTAGTTATTCTTATTAAAAAAATAAATTTTATTTTCTTTTTGTTATTATTATTGATGATCATCATTATTTATTATATTATATATATTTTTTTTATTTATTGTATATAAATCTTAAGTCTGTTTTTATGTACTATTTGTTCTTTATTATCTTAGGATCTATTATATTTACATTTTATCTTAATAATAGATTTTTAATTTTATATGGGGCTATATATTTTTTATCTAATTTGTGGCCTGATTCATTTTTTAATAAAACTAAGTCTCCTATTGTAAAATTATAATCTACAATGTTTCTATCATAATTTTCCTTTTGTTTTTTCTTATGTTTGTTTAAAAGTAATTGAGCTCTCTTAAGTGCTATTTCTATTCTATATTTGGCCTCTTTTGCGTAATTGTCCACGTTATAAAGTGGAGATACTTGGTCTACTTCATTTATTTGTAGTAGTTTTTGTGGTAGTTTAGAAAATACTAATTCATACGGGCAGTAATTATGTACGGTTGATGGTGTCGTATTGAAGCAATACGTGAAGTATTTGAGCCATTCATCCCAGTCATCTTTATCTACAGATATGTAGGAACGTACGTACGCATTGAAGGTTCTATGACTTCTTTCAATTGTTCTTAGCGTCTGGTGATGATGTGCCGTTGAATTTAGTTTTTCAATTTTTAATAGTGCACATAGTTCGTTTAATATTGAATTTTTATATTCAGTTCCCATGTCCGTAATGAACGTCTTCATTGGACCATATATGAGAATGAAATTTTCAAAAATTGCCTTAGCTATTGTTTTAGCGCTTTTGTCTTGTGTGGGTATTGTTACTAAGTACTTAGTCAGGTCACATATCATTGTTATGGCATATTCGTTTCCATAAATTGATTTAGGGAACGGACCAATGGTATCAATATATACAGTATCAAAAACTCCTGTTGGGGTGGGAGTTAATACTAATGGACCTTTCAAATGTTTGTTTGTTTTTGTTGTTTGACACGTGTGGCATGTTTTGACATATTTCGTAATGTCTTTTGTCATATTTTGCCAATAGTAATATCGTTTTACTTTCTGTATTGGCCTGAAAGTTCCGCCGTGACCAACTTCAATGGGGTCATCGTGATATTTACTTATAATGTTTTGAATAGTTTTAGCATCTTTGTAATCAATGTGGGTCACCTCATTTAGTAGCGCTACTTTAATATTAATCAATTTCTTATTGCCCATATTTTTGAATTCATTAATTGAGATAAATTCGAAAATTTTCTCACTAGGTGCCACTTGTAAGTTATCAATGCCGTGTTTACAGGCCACTTCTTCGAGCCTCGGGAGGAACTTACTTAAGTAAATTTTCCCATTATTAAACAAGTCATTGATTTGTATATATGCAATTATAGATTTTCCACGTTTGATATAGCATCTCACGGGAGAAATCTTTAATTTACAATATTTCCTGACGTCAGTGTTATTTAAAGAAACACATATACGGGGCTTTTCAATTATATTTGATTCATGCTGCTTATTCAAAGTATTACTATTATTTATGTCTTTGTTTTTTCGTGTCATGGATCTTGTAGTTATTTTGAGTACTTGTGTTGCTTTTATATTCATGTCTTTGAGATCATGGATTGTTATTCGCGATAGAGCGTCTGCAACGTAATTATCTTTTCCCCTAAGATATTCGACTGTAAAGTCATATTCCTCTAGGTCAAGTCTCATTCTAGTTAGTTTTGAACTTGGGTTCCGCATTGAAAATAGATATGATAGAGGTCTGTTATCCATACGAACGAGGAATTGTTGTCCGTATACGTATGGTCTAAAATGTGTTATAGCCCAATAAATTGCTGTTAATTCTTGTTCAATGGTTGACTTGTTGCTTTCGCCTTTTGTAAACGTTTTAGAAGCATAGGCGACTGGTAGATGTTTTCCTTCGTGTTCCTGAGTCAAAACTGCGCCGCAAGCGTGCTTGCTTGCATCGGTGGTTATACAAAACTGTTTTTTAAAATCTGGATATTGCAGTAATGTTGGACTCATTAATGCTTTTTTCAAATAATTAAATGCTATATCGCAACCTTTAGTCCATTCGAACTGTACACCCTTTTTAGACAGTCTTGTAAGATGCCTAGAATATTCTGAGAAGTTTTTGATGAATCTTCGATAGTAATTGCAAAAGGCTATGAATCTTCTTGCGCCATCTGCGTCAGTAGGTGTTGGATATTTTTCAATTACTGAATATTTACTATCATCTGGGAGTATTCCCTTATCAGTACATTTGTGTTCTAGGTAAGTTACCTCTGTAATAAAAAATGTACATTTTTCTGGATGTAACTTGAGATTGTTTTTTCGACATAGCTCAAAAACTTGTGTTAAATTCGATAGCATGTGTTTTTCGGAACACCCCAACACGACCAAGTCGTCCATGTATAGGAAAGCTTGTTCTGGTTTCAATCCACTGAAAGCAATTATCATCATTCTTTGGAATGAGTTTGGTGCTATTTTTAGTCCATAAGGGAGTCTAGTCAATCTATACGATCCATTATTTGTTGAGAATGCGGTAAGGTCTTTTGATTTTTTCTCTAATTTGATTTGATGGAATCCAGACATTAAATCTAAGCATGAGAAATATTTAGCTCTACCGAGTTGGTCTAGGATATCGTCAATTCTTGGCAAAGGAAATTTGTCTGCTACTAATTTTTTGTTGATTTGTCTGTAATCTATTACAATTCTCCATCTCTTTTTATCTGAACCGGGGAGAGATTTTTTTGGAACTAACAAGATAGGACTATTATATTCGGAATTCGATGGTTCGACTATTCCATCGTCTATTAGTTTCTGTACTTGTTGGTCTATTTCTTCTTTGTGTGTATGTGGTATACGATAGTTCTTGATGTATACCGGTTCCTTATCCTTAACTCTTAGTTTTTGTTCGTAGAAATTATTTGTAGTTATTGTTTCAGTTTCTAAACCAAAAATATCTCTGAATTCGGAACAAAGGTCTATTAATGTATTTTTGAATCGGTTTGGAAAATTTGTTTTTAATAATTGTAAAATTTTTGATTTTCTTTGTTTTTCATTGTGATTGTTTGTAATAATTTCATAATCATTAATGTCTTCAGTTGATATTTGTGGTTCTTTTATGGTAACTGTGTTATTGTTTGTATTTAAAATACGAATAAATGCGTTATTTGACTTTACTAATGTGCTGGCTATAAAAACACCTGGTTGGATTTCTTGGTGAGGTAATAATATGTCTTGACTTGTAGTCACTAGTTTGATGTGGCGTATCACCTCTGATCTTGCTGGTAATGTTAAACTTTCATTACATGTATTCGTAATTTCTATTTGTTGTAGGAAATTAGGTGGTCGCAGGACGAGGTAATCAAAATCTTCATTAAAATCTAATACACGATTGTATTTTCTTATAAAATCCATAGCGATGACATGGTATTGGGAAATCATCGTGCACTACGTGAAAAGTATATGGGATTAAAAAGTTTTTGTATCTTAGATCAAAGTGTGTTGTTCCAATAGATTTTATTTTGCCTTGTCCTGTTCCACTTAATGTTGATATTCTGTTTGTGTTTATTTGATCTTGTGTAAAGTGAGCGAGCTTTATTAATGAAATATCTGCTCCTGTGTCTACTAATAATGTTACTTTATCATTACTGTGTTCTATTTTGATGTTTATGAAAATGCTTAAGCTAAGGTTAAGTTTATACACTTTTTTGTCTTCTGTCTTGACCTTAGGGGGATTTTTTAGTTTTCCGGGTTAGTTTGTTCTGCGTTAGTAGTTCTAACGTTGTTATTTTGGGCATAATTGTTTTGCCTATTGCTGTTGTTGTTATTATACCCACGTCTATTTCCACGGTAGTTAGAGTTTCCATTTCTATTTCTGTTGCCGTTATTATTGTGGTTATTATTGTTGCCGTTGCTTCTGTATCCACCTCTACCATGTTGTCTTCCTCTATTTCCACGGTAGTTTTTGTTTGTCCTATTTCCGAAGTATAGGATAGCGTTTTGTTGTCCAGTAGCTTCGGTGCAGCTACTGACAAACTTCTCTATAGCTTCGTTCATAGTGTTAAATTGGGCTGCTTCCATGATGAGTTTAACTCTATCAATGGTGCAGTTTTTGGTCATTGCCTTTACGGCGATTTGGGTGGAGTATTGTTGTGCTAACGTGCATGACAAACCATCGGAGATGTATGCACTCTCCAATGATTTTGTCAGAGTTTCCACTTCGTTACAATACGTATTGGCAGATTTATTATTCTGGCGGATGTTCAGTATTTTGGCCGAGAGGACCTCAACTGATTCACCTTTCACAGAACTTGTGAGTTTTCTAATTACATCTTGTATAGTGGCTTCGTTTTCAATTAGGTTTCGGGCGTTGCCCTTTAATTTGGTCTTGATAAGGTTTATGGCTACCGTTTCATGGTCGCCTTTTAATGTTTCTATTAGTGAAAGTGCGTCTAGAAAAGATCTTAAATTCTCTGGTTTGCCATCGAAATCGGGCATAAGCCTTGTGGCCGTATTAATGAAATCTACAACTGTTTGTGTCATTTTGTACAGCTTTATTTCCGTTTCTGAATCAGAATCTTCTGAACCACTTTCTTCTTCTATTGTTTTAAGCTGTTCCGTTGTTTCGGATGCCATACATATATTATTTAGATCTATTTCGATGGGTTGTTCTATCTTATGGGATACTTCTTGACAAATGTTGTGTTGTGATAATATTTTTACTAATATGTCTCTAAGAACCCAATATTTTTCTGGTACATATTCTTTATGTTCTTGAGTAAATTTGTTTAAATTTATGGAGATTAATTCTCTTATATTTTCTAGTGAACTGGTAATAATTTTCAAATGCTTTTTAATCGTTTCTTGACGAATGTGTTTTTTTTGGCTTATACATTTATATGATTATTTTATATTTTCTGATTCTAATGTAATTAATTTATTTATTGTTTCCATTGAGCCATGGATATAAAATTAAAAAAATTTTTATTTTTTTTTTTTAATATTTTGTCAAGTGCGTTTGCTCTACTCATGCATCTTTTCTTTAAATTTTTCTTGTGCATGAGGTAGATTTGTAACGCAAGATTTAATAATGCAATTATGGAAATTATTACCAGACACGCTTCTATAGTCTCTAAGTTAATATTCTTTTGTCCTACTTCTATTTCGTTTATTACATTTGCGTTAGGTTTTTCAATTTTGGCACTTTTTTTGCCCATTGTAAAAGTAAAAAATTTTTTCTTTCTTTCATATTTATTTTTCTTTATTTGGAATTATTTGCCGTGTTAGTATTTTTATTTTTATTTTATAATTAAAAGAATTTTGTTAGTTTGCCACGAGCGAATATCGCTTACTGGCCTATGCGTGCTTAGAGCACTGCAGTTTTACATTATTGGCTTATTTTTGCCTACATATGCCTTAATCATATGTTCTAAGTTGCTAATTTGTTCCCATATTTCCGTTGCACGGTTCCAAGGTGGTGGTGGGTCGCTGTTGATGATTCTCAAAAGTATTGCCTTTTCCCTCTTTAGCTTATTGGTGTAGCCTTCTCTTCTTTTAATAATTATCCCGGGGGGTGTTGGTGCTTCCTTCTTTGGTTTTACCTGTCGTCTTCGGTACTCTTCTATAGTTAGCGGTTGTGGTCCCGCTTTCACTGGCGCCTTTGTTGTTTGCCTTTGGTCATCTGACATCCTTCAGTCTTCTGACGGATCTTAGCTTGTCCACGTCAGGATTTATTTATTTTGGGTGCCCTTTGGGCATCTCCCTTTTTGGGCTGGCTACTTAAAGCTCAGTCCTTTTTCAAAAAAAATTTTTATTTTTTTTTAATTCGTGTGCCTCTTGGGCTTTGCTCTTTTGGCTGGCTATTTAAAGCTCGAGCCTTACAAAGTGCAATTTTTCCTTTTTTTGTTTAAATAAATTTTAAACTGGCAGGATCGCCATGTAATATTAAAAGATTTAAGTTTTCTTGTTACGCCACTGAAGGCGAATAATTTTTATTTTGGTCTTACTTTCGCCACTGAGGGCGGTTGGCTTGACATTGCTCTTCTTATGCATCTACTTGTTCTATTTATTCTTATTTCTATGTACATGGGCGTCTTAAGCTGACGTTCTTAATCCCGTGTAATTTCTTACAAATTATATTATAGTATGGAGCAATCGCTGCATACAACCAGCGGTCAACATATTTTGGGTAAGTCAACTGAGGCAGCGTTCAGTGTTATGGCTTAGTACGTTGTAAGTACTATGGCCAATGCTTCAGTCAGCAGAGTCGATGATCGCTAATATTGNTGATTTGTATTAACGCAACAGAACAGCGTTCAATATTTTGGATTATTAAATGCCGTTCTGTTGTATGTTGTAAGTGTGTGTGTGTGAAGTGTCAATGGACTGCGACTTTAATGTTTCTTTATTTGAGTTTACTTTTAGCTGCTGTTTATGTTGACTGCGTTTGCATGCTACGCCGTATTGAAAGACCAATACGTTGGTTTGGGGGATATTCTCCAAGTATAATCGTGAAGTCTCGGACAGGCATAAAATAAATTTGTAGCCTTGTTTGTAACATTCGAGAGATGTAAGTTCCCACTGAGCCTTTTGTTCAGAGTTATCCCCAGATACTTCGCTTCTTCTGGGAGCTCTATTTCTGTCCCTGCCAAGGAGGATCTAGTCAAATTGACTTTCAGACAGAAACCCGGCGACTACCACAAACAATGAAAGGCAGGTCCAAACTACAGATACAAAGGGAAAGAAAATAACTGATTTTTACTTACCTGCGAATCCCTGCAACAATTAATCATGAAGAGGTGAGCAGCTGATTTCTACTTGACGATGTACACACAGAACAACTGGTTGAACGAAAGAACATAATCCGCTGAGACGTACCTAACTAAGAACCAACGCCGATTTAGCACGGCTATAAATAGTGACAGACAAACAGAAACTATTCAGAACGAAAAATTACACTTAAGATGGCTCAACGCCGAAACCGGTTTGTCTTCAAACCAAATTTGACAAGGGATGACGGAAAATCGTTCCACATTACGTCACGGTCCTACCCTGTCGGAAACACCAAAAACAAAATTGAGAAAGTTGACTTTCCCTATTTTGGCAAATGGGACATTAGTGGACTTCAGTGGGTTCATTGACAAGCGCTTTTCAAGGTTGCTAAAATGTTTGAAGATACATATTTTCTCTTTTTTGCAAATAACTATTTTTGTCGTGAAACCTACCAAATTCCAATCTAGCCTACCAGCCTACCAAATTTAAATAAACCTACCAGTTTTGGTAGGAAAAGCTCATGTGTGGCAATACTGTATAAGGTAGTGTTACCGGAGCAGTTGGAATTTTCGCCTCGGAGTTTCTTAAAGAAAGCCATAAATGTTGCAACCGTTGATTCAACTTGGTGATGTTGTGCTCTAGATTGCACCGTTTGTAGGCCTGTTGAATGAAGTTGTGTCTTGGTTGTATGAAATACAAAACAATTTAGATTTTCTGAACACCATTTCATGATTTCAATTATACACGACTTTATGCACTGAGTTTCTACTCAAATTCACGAAATGATTTCGTGAATTGGCCTACGCATACACGTGGTAATTGTCCGTATAATTTGTTAGGTAATTTTATGTTTTTATACTCTTGCTACCACATGCATGAATTCGTTATAGGAATATATCGTCGCTTCAACAAATGAATGTCGTATGTTACTTTTGACGACTTTTTAAAGTCTGTTTTCATGAAAACGTCACGGTAGATTTCTTTGAAAATTGTCCATGTTGTTTCTTAAGCCTAAGGAGATATTGGAGTTTATTATTAGAAAAAAAATACACAAAATCTGCAACATTTAATGCTAATTTTATTTACTCACACTTTGTCGTATGTTGTAGTTGACAACATGGTTGTACTCATATTATGAATTCACCTTGGATGATCGAATACCACGTTGCGCAAAGAGAAGGCGTGTAAAACGCAATGCCGAACAAAGGAATTTGTCTTCTTTAAACTTCAATAAATGCATATTGAAAAAAAAGTAAATATGTTAATTAATGCCTTGGCTATAATGCATGGGGCGAATCGTAACAAATAGCTGTGATTTCGTATGAATCTATTGATTGCATTATATACATTTGCATTTATTAAACATGCAATAGATAATTACATATGAGACAGTTCACTCCGTTCAATTTCTTCCATTATATCTCGGTCCCAAGAGCAAACTCAGTTGTGTTACCGGATTTTCAATTGAAATTGGAAATAAATAAATAAAATATAAATCAGCAAAACGAATAAAACAAAATGAAATTAATTTTAATTTCTAATCGAACCTATGTATGTATGTAGCTCAATCGCCTAAGGTTGATGTCAGGGAGGAAACGAGAAACGATGCTATAAGATGGCGCTACTTCTAGCTATAAACCGCTGCATATGTATAATAATAATAATAATAGATTGGCGCTTACACATATGTTAGTGTTTGGCCGAGCTTCTCCTCCGACTTGTGGCGTGCGCCTTGCACCCAGAAAAAGGTTTAGTTATAATAACCAAGATTTGGTTATAGTGATCAAGTGGCATAGTTGGATATGGCGAAATAAATATATGGTTCACGAAAGTCTGCAATTTACTTAAGACTTCTAGTTGGGACAAATGTATATTTGTTAATAATTACAAAACGACTACCTTGATTGGATAATATTGTTAGTTGAATAAAATCATTGTTGAGCAAATATAAACAATGCTTTGGTTGATACAAGTTTTCAATTAATTTTGTGAACTTGCTGTAGACTTGAATCAGCTAACCGTTTATTATTGGAAAAAAGTTTCAGTTTGACACAAATAAAAATTTACTCGAGGTTTGTTGTGTTTACTTTCTTCTTTTATTTGCATATATTAAGCAT